CTCGAGCTTCTTCTTTGTTCTTTAATGGAGTTTACAGAGAGAATATTTTTGGGTGGGAAGTTGGTTGAGTTGGAGTTTGTGAGTTATGGCAGTTAAAAGACTTGTTTAATACTTAAAAATACTTTAATATACTTAAAACAATTAATATTAACCATCCCCCACCCTAACTTAACAAATTAGTAATTTAATAAACTACCCCTAACATAGGCCGACTTAAGGAAGCCTTCCAAGGCCCCATCCACGAGACCCCGACCACAGGGCGTGGTTTGAACCACGGACCATACTGGTCACTCGTGGTTTGGGTCTGAGGCTGGCCTTTTTGGCCTTGGTCCAGGACCCATCCACGAGCCCCCACCTACGGGGCGTGGTATGGTCCATGAACCGTGTTGTCGAGGCGTCAAATTGGACTGAGACTAGGAAGTTTTGGGGACCATTGGGGAGGCTAAGTCTTGACTCACAACTCCAATCTACGGGGCGTGAGTCATTCCACACCTCGTGGTCCCTATTTCGTGATTGAAACTGTTTCTAGACAGCTTTTTGAGCAACCCCTTGGCCCTCATCAAGGTCCCTTGAGGGGTCCTTGGGGGGCCCATAGTTTGACCTGTAGGGACTTAGACACTAGTTCTAAGTTAGGAAAATTATTTTAGGATTTTAACTTTAAGTTTTAACTTCATTAGGCTACTAGACTACAAATTAGGCTCTAGCTTAGGTCATCAGATTTCCGAGGTGTTACACTTCAGCACAAATGTGACTTGTCATTTTCATTCTTGTTTTTCACTTTTTATCTATCACTTTCTTAATTTCTTTCTTTTTACTTATTTATTCTTTGTTATTTAGCATCATTATCACTCTTTTTTTTTCTTTGAATTCATTCACATGTTTTTCTATCCTTTTCCTTCTTCTACACTCAACTATTTTCATACCCTTTTTATTTCGATTTCCTTTTTAATAGATACCCTCAACTTATGTATTTTGCATGATTTGAGGTTCACAATGTCCAAGGTTGGACCATGGCCAAGATTAAGGTAACTTTTCAATCAGCCACCGTCAACTTAGAGATTTTGGCCTAAGTTAAGGTGCATATGTCCAAGGAAGGATCAAGGCCATAACAGTCTTTTAGGGAATGAGAATTAGGTGTATTGAATGAAGTAGTCTACATTAGGCTCAAACATTTGGATTAAAGAGCATTTACTTCTTTTGGTTGGATCATTTTTGGCTCTAGTAAACTCATTTGACCAAGGGCTTATGATCATCTCCCAATTCCTAGCCTAGATTGTATTAACAGGACCAACGAGGCAAGTTCTAGATTGGCACACACTACATGAACATACAAAATCATCTCAAACACTCTTGGCACATTGTTTCATTATTGAGTTATTGAAGCACCTAATTCAAGTTATAGCTTAAGTATTCTATCATACCGGTGCATATTATGCCATATGAAGATCCAACACATTCAACTTATTCAGACTATATATCTAGCACATTTTAATTTTTTTTGGACAAGTATCAATTTCATGTTTCTTATGCCATCATGCTTTCATTATTTCTATCTACTTCTATACATACAATCCTTCATATGCCGGATCAATAGAAAAGTAAAATAGTCCCTTGGGAAATAAGAACACACACAAGAAAATCCCAAGAGAGGGTTATGAGTTTGGTTACTCTGACTTCACCCTATCACTCACAACCCATTTACCCTGCCCCATAAAAAATTGGTGCAATTTCCCTCAATGCACAAAAAAAAAGAAAACTAAAACATAGGGTTAAGCAAATCTATGGCGCATAAGCACTGATGACCCATCAACAAGTGAGTGGGTCCGCTTCCCTAAAGCCCAATGAATCAACAATAGAAAAGCCATCAGTAGCGCCTTCAGCAACAGTGGAAATACCCTCAGTAGTGGTCCTCAAACAAGATAGACCAACACCAATCTAATGGGACCTCTGCTACCGCATCTCCTTATCAATAATGGACTAATACTGGGCCACCTCAAAATCCTGTCGCTCTCTCTTTTTGGCCAGTCGGGCCTCCACAGTGTCAGAAGTATGCTCAGAAGAGCGGTGGCACTTCTCCACCCCACGAGAAGGGTCGGGTGGTTGCACAAGTTTGCAAAAAATGGTAGTCATCACCACATTATCAACCTCACTAATATGAGTGGTCTCCGGTACGGTTTCAACAGGGGCTAGAAGGGCAGCAACCTCAGAATATAGTATGGCCATCTCTGTCCGTTAAGTGGTGACATCAATGGTAGGGGCATGCCTCTCCAAGACTCTCAACTCGAATGCATCAAGGCGTTAGAGGACCGCCTAAATTCTTTTGTCCATCATCTACTCCATACGGCCCTCGGACTCCTTAACAGAGCTCTGCATCCAGGGCCTCATATGTTCTATATCCTCAGTAAGATAAGAACCTAAGGGAGGTAGGTAGACTTGTGGATCCCTCTGCGGAGCATCAAGATTGGCATCATCTCGAATAAGGTCGATATCCACAGTCTTCGTCGCCTCTGTCAGCCTATCACAATACCAAATATGTACTGAAGCCTCCTTACAGAAATGGAATATAAGACAGAGGAAAATCATACTAGTAGTAGTCTTGAAGGCCCTCTCATGGATCTCTGCAATCAGGATGAGAGAGAAAGCAAGCTCCAATCCCGCTGGTAGCATCACCGCCATGTCCCAACTAAAAATGTTTTCTGCTAGTTTAAAGGACTGTATAGTACAAACCACGGACCTAAAGAACTTCACGGCGAAGCTTAGGGTTGCCTTTATGATAGGCATGATTATATTCCTCACCCACTCATTTTCTTCTCCATCCTCCATTATATGACGGGCCATTGATGAGTCCAACATTTTGACTCATTTAGGGATTTATTTTGATAAATTTAGTGTCCAAAAATGCTTAATTTATGCTATGAACTAATGTGCACACTTTGACTTTTAGGTATGTGGATTGAGGAGCAAAGCAAGGACACTAACAGGCAAAAAGAAAAAAACAAGCTAAAGAAAGGAATAAAGATAAACATGATGATCGCCAAGAGCACTCGGCAAATCGCCGCGTTACCCCTAGCCTGCCTAATTTTACAATACGGTGTGCTTGAAATGAGAGAAATTTGGGCGACCGTACGCCATATCGGTAAATCGCGGAACCGATCAGTGAAGCAAGATTGTACAGCCGAACGCACTGAATGAGACAAAGATGAAATTGAATTGGCTAGCCAAAGTACTAAAGGGTGGATCACAGAAGTGATCAACGATCCTGATGTAGACCTCCTAAAGTTACAGTGCATGATGGATGAAAATGTTAAACAAGAAAGTGATGGATAAGGTGGATCGGCGAGTCACCGACTGGTCGGCAAAGCCCGAATTTCCTCACCAATGAACCCCAAAAATCCACAACTCAGATCAATATAAATTGATTTTTGGAAGAGAGAAGGCATCTAGTCATGGTGGAACAAAATAGCGAGAACAAAAACACTATTCTTGTTGATTTTAAGTACTTTTGGTAAGAGATTTCAATTGGGTGTTATAATAGAAAAGATTTCATTCATCTTAGAACTTCAAAAATCAATACACAGGTATGGAACATGTATTAGGTACTGAATTTTCTTCTTCTATGATAATTAGCTAAAACCCCAATCTTGTGGGTTTGACAATGTGATTAATTGCTGAATTTGGCTTGATGGGTGTTAGTCATTATTAATTTTAGTGCTAATACGAAGTGGGTCTGACATATTGATGTGGTTTAATTGCTCTGTTGTATGTTATTTCAGTTTCATTTAGTGTTTTATGCTTGCTTGAGAAGGAAGTGTAAAACTAAGGTGATAAATTGGCACTCGTACTTATTGGGTCATGATGGGTACAGCTCGAGAGAGTGAATCCCAAGATTCATTCTATGAATACAACTCAAGAGGGTGAATTTAGTGAGGTTGGGGGCTGGTCTCAATGTTTAGCACATTGAGGTTCGAGAGAACTCAATTGAAATGAGGTAGTTGTTCGAGAGAAAAGTACCTCATCTAAGGTTCTCTTACCCACGAAGATTTGTACTTTTGGCTATCAATTAACATTCATTGAGTTGAGTTTAGCAATTGGTTGGTCAATCCCCCAAGTATCTCTCTCCTATTTGATTATTCCTAATTAATTGTTGAGGTTCCTTTCTGATCTAAGACCCCTTACCATGACATTGATGTAACTATTCTTATTTTACTAATAGTTTCTGATAATCTCTATTTTTTCAGCTATGAAAATCACTAATTTAACTTCATACTTGAATTCAAAATAAAACTGCTACTTGTGGGATTAACCCCAACTCTCTTGTTGGGTTTATATTGGTTATGGATCATCTATACCTACGTAGTATCAGATGAGGTGTAGTAGATACGTTAATCAAAATGGCGTCGTTGCCAGGGAGTGGTGTTATTTGGAATTGTCTTATCGAAGTTTAATTTGTGATTTTGTTGGATTTAGTTGAATCAATTTAATTTGTTTTCTGTTAGTGTTGGCTGTATTGAATACAAGAGGAAATGAATGAGGCAGGGATCAACGATAGCCAAGTGGGCCACTAACACGATGTTGACGATCTTAATAGTGTTAATAACCCAATCCAATTGGGTGGAATTGGTGCAATCTGTCAACCGTCAACTGGAGGGAATGCTATATTATATGTTACTAGCACAACTCTCCATCTCCTCCAAATGAAATGACTTTACGGAGGGTTGGCTCACAAAAACCCGCATGAGCATGAGTGAAATTTTATGGATGTTTGTGATCCGTTCTCATTGAAGAACCTATCACAAGAATCAGTTCGGCTCAGGTTGTTCCCATTATCTTTGACGGGTGAAGCTAGCATATGGCTAGCTGAGTTACCAATAAATTCCATCACATCTTGGGATAAACTTAACACGGCGTTTAATGCAAGATTTTTTCCCCCATCGAGGATGACGTAACTCAGAGACAACATTCAAGGTTTTAAGCGATTTGAAGGTGAACCAATGAACGAAATGTGGGTGTGGTTTAAGAAGCTACTACTTCAATGCTCGACGCACAGACTTCCCAACAATGTGACTCTACAATACTTCTATCATAGTCTTGACTCGGTAAACAAAGGAGTAGCTGATCAATTGGTTCAAAGTGGAATAATGTTGCAATCATTTGAGGTAGCTTCATTTCTTCTTGATGACATGAAGAAAATAAATCAACCATGGTACACTCAAGAAGATCATGTTTTTTCTTTTTGCTTCAGGATGACTTAAGAATTGCTTGATAAAGAAAGATAAAGGGATGAGAACATCAACAATATGTTATCCCAAATGTAGCTGCTACAAAAACAAGTGTTAGAAAAAGTGGACAAACCCAAAGAAACAAGGGGAGTATTCAGAGCTGAAGAGGGTTCTTTTTCAGGCTACTTAAAGCTGGGGGAGAATGAAGGTTGGAACTTTCACAGAGTTGATGAGAGTTTCTACCCAAGCTACTTGGGGGAAAATAACACCTTACCCCTGATCATTGCTGCTGACTTGCTTGAGTGGCAAACAAAGGTGCTTCTTGAAGTGTTGAGAAGATACATCAAAGCTATTAGATGTACTATAGCTGACATTGTGGGAATTCCACCCGGCATTTGCAATCACAAAATTCAACTTGATAGTGAATGTAAACAGAGTGTCAACATCAAAGGAGATTGAACCTACCGATGCAACAGGTGGTGAAAAAGGAGATAATTAGGTGGTTTGATGTAGGTGTGATTTACCTTTTTGCAGATAGCAAGTGGGTGAGTCCGGTACAATGTGTACCAAAAAATGGAGGCATCACAATAGTCCCAAATGAAAAGAGGGAGCTTGTTTCTATGAGACCGGTAACCGAATGGCGAGTATGCATGGACTACCGGAAGTTAAATTCTTGGACTGAAAAAGATCACTTTCCCATGCCTTTTATGGATCAAATGCTCGATCGACTTTCAGAGAGAGAATGGTATTGCTTTTTGGATGGGTCTTCAGGATATAATCAAATCTCTATTGCTATGGAGGAGCAAGATAAAACCACTTTCACTTGCCCATATGGAAATTTTTCTTTCAAAAGGATGCCATTCAGGTTGTGTAATCCACCAACAATGTTTTAACGTTGCATGTTGTCTATTTCCGCTCATATGGTAGAAGATTCGTTGGAAGTCTTTATGGATGACTTCTCAGTTTTGGGTGATACTTTTGAAGCATGCTTGGCACACTTGGGCCAGGTCCTTCAACGATGTGTGGAGATAAATTTGGTCCTATATTTGGAGAAATGTCACTTCATTGTTAGGGAAGGTATAGTTCTTGGTCACCAATTGTCACAAAGAGGATGGGAAGTTGATAAGCCAAAGATCGAGGTAATTGAGAAGCTACCAGCACCAATCTCAGTAAAAACGATTCGTAGTTTCTTGGGGTATGCAGGTTTTTACTGGATGTTCATCAAACACTTTCCAATAATTGCACACCCCTTGTGCAAACTTTTGGAGAAGGAGGTGAAATTCAATTTTGATGATGCATGTATGGTAGCCTTTAAATGCCTGAAAGAGAAATTGATCTCTACCTCGATTATCATTAGTCCTGATTGGTCGGCACCTATCGAACTGATGCGTGATGCAAGTGGTACGGCATTAGGTATCGTGTTGGGGGAAAATCGGAACAAGCTATTCCATCCCATTTACTATGCAAGAAAAATACTAAATGGTGCTCAGCGTAACTACACGGTTACGGAGCAAGAATTACCGGCAGTGGTATATGCATTTGGGAAATTTCGGTCATACTTGCTAGGAACCAAAGTGGTTGTTCACACTGATCACGCATCTCTACGTTACTTGATGGCAAAGAAAGATGACAAGCCAAGATTGACAAGGTGGGTGCTATTGGTGCAAGAGTTTGACTTTGAAGTCAAAGATAGAAGAGGTTGTGAAAATCATGAAGCTAAAGAGAGTGATTAATTAGAGGTACAAACTCCTTGGTATGCTTATTTTGCTAACCATGTAGTGTGTGGATTGATGCCGGAGGAATTAAACTTCTATCAACAAAAACGGTTCTTGTTCGATGTCAAGAAATACTTTTGGGATTAGCCGTACTTATTCAAAGAATGTGTAGACCATATTATTAGGCGATGTGTACCTGAAGAGGAATTCACTGAAATTCTCTTTGGTTGGCATGCTTCACCGGTTGGTGGTCATCATAGTAAGGTGTGTACAGCCGCTAAATTTTTTCAAAGTGGTTACTACTGGCCATCCCTCTACAAAGATGCTCAAGAATTTGTTAATAAATGTATACAATGTCAAAAACAAGGTGGGGTGTCCAGAAGGCATGAGCTGCCTCTCAAGCCTATTCTGGAAGTTGAGTTATTTGATGTTTAGGGAATAGATTTCATAGGTCCATTTGTTTAGTTTGTTTGGTAATAAGTATATTTTGGTGGCTGTAGATTATGTTTCTAAATGGGTGGAAGTTGTGGCACTACTAAATAATGAAGGGAAAAGTATCGTTCAGTTTTTAAGGTGCTACATCTTTACTAGGTTTGGCACCCCTCGATCTATTTTTAGTGATGGTGTTTCACATTTTTGCTACAGCCGTTTTCCATCTGCATTGAACAAATACGTGGTGTGACATAAAATGGCTACGCCATATCATCCTTAAACGAGTGGCCAAGTAGAGGTTTCAAATCAAGAGATCAAGAGTATCGTGGATAATACTGTGAATGCAAATAGAACTGATTGGTCTCAAAATCAAGATGATGCTCTTTTGGAATATCGCACTACCTACAAGACACTAATTGATATGTCTCCATATCATCTAGTTTTTTGGGAAATCTTGTCATTTACCGGTTGAACTGGAACACAAAGCATTTGGGGCATAAAAGGCTTTAAATCTGGACTGGGTCAAGTGTTCAAAAGGAAGAGTGGATAAACTAAATGAATTGGATGAATTCCAGTTTAGTGGTTATGAAAATTCAGCCCTCTCCAAGGAAAAGATGAAGAAGTGGCACGATTCTAAAATCCTTATGATGGAGTTCCGAGTTCGAGATTGGGTGTTGCTATACCATTCTCGACTGACACTCTTTCCGTGAAAGCTCAAATCAAAATGGTAAGGCCCATTTAGAGAAAAATGAGTGTTCATGAATGGAGCCATTGAAGTCAAAAGTAAATAGGATCCTACCTTCAAGGTGAATGGGCAACGCTTGAAGTTGTATTTATGAGAATGCCATGAAATTTTAGTGATTGAAGTGGTGTACTTGGAAGATGCTTGAAAGAATTTCCACATCGTGCCACAACGTTAAATAAGGCGCTTCTTGGGATGCAACCGAAGTATTAGTGGCTTTCAATAATGTGTACTGAATGTGCAGGTGTGGGTGATTATACGAGGCCAAGACACTTTCTACGATCCGTCGAGTAGGTTCGGCGATCTTGAAGTAGATCTCCTTTCTGGCATCGACAGTGGGCTGGCTGGAATATTATGCGCAGTACATACAAAACTGGATGAGTCGTTGACTAGTCGGCGAAGCCCGACTTTCTCCACCCTTTTGCACCAACCTTGATAGGCTGGAGTATTGGATCTTTTAGCGAGGTTTCACATACGTTAGGCGATGCACCGATACTAGTCAACAGACTTGTCATTGTCCGCCGTTATACCCCAAAATTGAGTGGTTACATGCTGGATAATTTGGCGAGATTCATGCAACTTGGTGGTTCGCCGAGAGATTCGGCGATGGCTACCAGTCTACGCTAAATGGACGCCTAGTGAAGATTCTTTTTCACCCTACTCTATTTTTTTGAGTGTCAGTATTTTGTTTTTATTTTTGTTGATATTTGTTCTCTCATAACATTAAGGACAATGTTGGATTCTTTTGGTGGAGGTGGTAGGAATCTGTTGTTATGTCTATTGTACTATCAAATTTTTTTGAGTATTAGAGTGTGATCGTTATCGATGACCCGAATATTGCTCTTATTTGATCAAAATAAGTGTGCGGTTATGATGAGGGAAATGAAGTTACATTGACAATATGTGAACTTTTAGCATCTCGTTGTGACTAGCTGGTTGTCAAATGAGTCTCTTTTAATGAACAGTGCACAATAGCTAGAAAGTGTGGAGTCTTGTTTGCTATGTGTATCCATTCCTTGTGTGATGAGATTTCTTCGAACATTGTGTGTGATGACACCTAGAAATTGCCCCATTGGTCCGGTTGATTGAGTGATGCAAGGACTTGAAATGATCTTAGGCAAAAATTTCGAAGAGTGAAAACAATTTGACAATATACCTTTTTTGTGGCCAACCTTGTGAAATGTGTGATCTTTGCTTGAACCCTCTTGAGCCTTACCCTTTTATTGGAAGAAAACTTGAACATTTGTGACCCCTCTTTATCCATTCACCCATAACCTTCATAAAGTGTTGTTTGTTTGAATAGACAACTTAGGCCAAAAGCCTAAGTTGGGGGTGTGGTGAAAAGAGAAGAAAAGTCAAGAAGCGTAAAAAATCCCCCTTTGAGTAATGATTTTGAATAAGATGGAACCTCTCCATGTAAAAAAAAGGAAAAGAAGAAAAAAAACAACAAAAAATGAAAAAGTTGTGAAATATAGAAGTGAAAGTTGCAAAAGAAATGGGGTATCCAGTAGTTCATCTGAAGTTGAATAATGGGGTGGATTATGAGAATGATTAAAATGTTAGAGGAAAGAAGGAAAGTGTTGCTCGGACCACATTTCATGAAGGTAGAAGCCACTAAGCCTAAATGACCATACCTTGACACTCAGCCCCATTACAAGCCGTGAAAAGACCTTTGTGATCTTGAGTGAGTTGAAACGAATGTTGATTGGAAAATAATGGCAAACCTATGGGTAAAGTCATGCATGTGTTCATCTTTGTGAATTTGAGAGACGTATGTTATTCCGAAACTCTAAATTATTGAAGAATTTTGTGTGAATATAGAATCATCCTTGTTTTAAGGGCATTTGAGTACCCTTGTTGAGCTTGAACTTGCATTTGAAGCAAGTATCGTGAACTTGAGCATCTTTGTTAACGACGAGTCATAATTTGAATCTTTGAGTGCACATTTGATCATTGTATGAGATAGTTGAAACTTGTTGTGCACATTCATGTTGAGTTTTATGCAGCACTGTTTGAGACGTCCTTTTTGAACTGCTAATCTTGATTTTTACTTGAGGACAAGCAAAATATTAAGTTGGGGTGTTGATGAGTTCGAGATTTGGACTCATTTAGGGCTTTGTTTTGATAAATTTAGTGTTCTAAAATGTTTAATTTGTGCTATAAACTGATGTGTAAACCTTGACTTTTAGGTATGTGGATTGAGGAGAAAAGCAAGGACACTAACAGGCAAAAAGGAACAAAACAAGCTAAAGAAGGGAATAAGGGAAAACCTGATGATCTCCAAGAGCACTCGGCGAAATGTTGAGTTTCCCCTAGCCCGCCTTATTTTACAGTACGATGTGCCTGTAACGAGAGAAATTTGGGTGAACTGTACTCTATATCGATGAATCGCCAAACCGATCAGCGAAGCAACATTGTACCGCCGAACGCACTGAACGAGAAAAAGATGAAATTGAATTGGTGAGCCAAGGGACTAAAGGGCAGATCGTAGAAGTGATTTATGATTCCAATGTAGACTCCCTAAATTTACAGTGCATGATGGATCAAAATGTGAGAAAAAAGGTGATGGACAAGGACGATCGGCGAGTCACTGACTGGTCATAGAAGCCCAACTTTCCTCGCCGATCAACCCTAAAAAACCCACATCTTTGATCAGTATCAATTGATTTTTGGAAGAGAGAGAAGTCATATAGTCATTGTGGAATGAAATAGAGAGAACAAAAACACTATTCTTGTTAATTTTAAGTAATTTTGGTAAGATATTTCTATTGGGTGTTGTAATAGAAAATATTTTATTCATCTTAGAAGTTCGAAAATTAATAACCTGCTATGGAGCATGTATTAGGTACTGAATTTTCTTCTTTTATGATAATTAGCTAAAACCCTAATCTGGGGGGTTTGATAGTATGAGTAATTGCTGAATTTTGCTTGATGGGTGTTAGTCATTATAAATTTAGTGCTAATTTGAAGTGGGTCTGACTTATTGTTGTGGTTTAAATGATCT